CAAAAAAAAACGAAAAAAATTAATTTGGTAAGTTTTCTTACCATTGACCTCTATTTCTTTTTTTTGAGAGAGAAAGAGAGATTTGAACTAAATCATATGATGCATAACAAGTGAGATTTATGTAATACATTGGTTAGCGCTGTTTTAGCGAGTTGGTTTTCTACGGGATGGGATTGCTAACCCCATGCCCAACCCTCCTCCTTTTACACGGGCTTGGGACCAGCAGTAGCCTCCAGAGGAGCTACAAGAGGAGTTATGTAATACATTAAACTAATCGATTTATCATTGTCTATAAAAGGAGGTATATGGTATGGCATATGGACAATTTGATTAATGATAATTATTATGAATAATAATATGAAATGATAATTGAATTAGGTTACTATGTCATAAGAAATTTAATTAAAAATAATAAAAAAAATTTGAGAAAGGTTAATATTTCACTAACTCACAAAGTCCTGCCTCTCTCTCACCTCCCCCTCCCACACACACATACATACAGAACATTCTAATGTTTGACTTGGAATATTGTTGAAAAATGAATATGGTTCAAATGTCTAATTCCCTGGAGTAATTTTATTTTTCAGTATAAGGTCGTAGAGATTATTAAGTTTACGCTTGATATTATGAATTCATTGATGTTAAACCATCATACTAGGGTGAAATGACCATTCAGGGTTTGCAGGTTTTCAATGGTTGTCTAGCATCAATGGATTCATGCACCCAATCAAACTTTTTATTGATTAGATGGTTTGAGTTACTATTAGTTCCTACAAATATAAAGCAAAGGCTGATCATATATATTACCACCATTAAATTAACTACTTCTATGAATTCGGTGTTCATCTTGTTGTGTTAATGAGGTATGTCAATATGAACTGATACATATGTGTGCCTGGTCCTACAATGTGGCTGACTGACTGACTGACTTGAATTACACTATTGATGTTTTCATTAAAAGTCAAACCTATTATCTTTCACTTGAATTGCTTACGCATTATCCACTGATGTATCGGGACCAGATATCCAATAATTTGTTCAATAGTACATCGAAGTAATCTGTTGGGAATGTACATATGATAACAATGACTGATGAATACTATTCCTCAATATCAACAAAAGGAAATTACAAAGCCTTATGAATATGAAACTTAAATTATATGATTTTCCTTACAATATAACAAGCTTTTCATCATGAACTGACATGACCGGTGGAAAAACATATTTTAAGAAATAAGAGAACAGTTATTGTAAGCAAAGATGGATAGTGGCTAGCAGTGAAATCCAGAATGCGCGTTTCTTCCTCTTTAGGAGTCGTCATCTGCATTTACCTGCATCTCAGAGTTGATGTTCACTCCGGAACTCGAACCCAATACTCTTCGCTTCAAACGCCATCGCGTTATCCACTCACCTACTAAGTCCTGTTTGGGAGATTCAAACAAACAATACTGAGTGAATTTAGAGGACGGTTAGTTCATATTTTTCTCTACTTCGTTACGATTTGTCATCACTGTACATCCATGACAAAAGCACCTTTTCTACAAGTTGATAATGATTAAACTTAGTGAATTGATTTGTTACTTTGGAATTAAGCTTGTAATATTAATAGTTGAGATCATGAATCAAATGAAGCTAGACTACCATGGAAAACCTGGAAGTACTAGAGGACCGATTCGTCCTATTGTGGGGCTCCTCGGCAGTGCGCATCCACGATCCCGCCTCGCGAACCCTGGACCGATCACTCTCTCGCGCGAGAGCTTAACCACTAGACCACTGATCCGGAATTCAATGGTGTTAATGTCTAACTTCAATCAATCCACGAAATTGAGCAACCGTCTACGATTGTCCTCAGTGAGTTCCTATCTCATAACAGAGCTGCTTGTAATAAGCAATGTCATATTCTAACACTTTATTATTAACCAAATCGGTTACCGAACAACCTCTTATTGTTCTGAGAAGTAACCTAAATCATTAGCGTTTCCAGTCCTTAATGTTGAATGTTTTACTAGTCAAAATGCAATCTGCGGTCACTATTCTTATGGATCTATTTTGATGTTAAGTGATTGGATATTGGTTGCCAGATAGATCTAAATACGAGTTTTGTGTTAACTTGTGCATATCATTAGAACATAACCGTTATCCTGGATAACTATATTATACTATTTGACAACAAACTTATTAGTGCCAAATAGGATGGCAAATCGATTGATGAAGTAGTAAAACTTCATCAGTTGAGATGGCTGGGACACGTGTTACGTATGCCCAACCATCGACTGCCCCGATGTGCGATGTTTTATGGTGTAAGAGTAGGTTGGAAGAAAGCCAGGGGCGGACAGACCAAAATGTGGCACAAATCCATGAAGTCACTGACAAGTGGACTGAGCCAAGTTGGTAGGTGTAGACTACCTGGTTGAGATCCGCAGGATGATAACGACCGATGGTTAGAGACCTTGAATGACATGGTCCAAAACTGCTTGCAATGGTGAAGGTGCATTCACTTTTCGTGTTCTGCCTAATTGTAACCTTCTGAATTTTTCATGTTTCTATCCTTTTTCTCTTTCCAAATTTATTTCACTGGATTATACTCCTTGAATAACATCTTCAAACACTAATCTTTCACATAATGCTTATACTCTTACTACTTCTACCATCATGGGATTAGAATCTACAACTGCATCTCTGTACTAATGTGGTATGGCAACTCGAACTGTTGTATGTACGTAAGAAGTTCTACGTTGTGACTAACTGACTGACTGACTAAACTTATATATATAAACAAGATGTATAACAGGATATAAAACTCACATGAGTGTGAGTACGATGTTGGTGATTACATATATGTGAGTGGGTAAACAAGCATAAGTGATTCAATTTATGAAATTTAATAGCTGATATGGTAGGAAGACATAAAATCATAACTATATATATTGTAGTATATAATATTGAGGTAACCTTAAACCCACCATTATTGAACATACTCTATTATAATGAAGTAATAATTAACATGGTTATAACGTCGAATTATTTGATTGAGTAATCACGAGTAGTAATTAAACATTTGAAACCATTACTTCATCAGAAGTACTGCTATGTTGTGCTGTAGTTCGAGTCTGCCATTGTTATATACTCTTCAAATATGCGTACCTCAACCAGTCACTTAAGTAAGAAAACCAAGGAAGAAAAAAAAGCACTTACTATAAATATATATCTTCTGTTATACCTGCATCGCCAACCACTTGTCCTTGAAAACAAGAAACCATTACAATTCCAACTACACAATGTAACAATACAAAAGACTGATGCAAGTGAATAATTAATCATTCTAAAACACGATAACTCCAGACGGATGAAAATGCTCCCATTCATATATTGATTTGTAGACCCATTTCATTATTCATAAGGAAAAAGCCAGATATATAAATTTTTAACAAAATCTCATGGTACATGTCAAGCTCAGCATAGTTTACGTTAACTTAGTACAAAGAATATCATATCGTTAAAAAAACATCAAAGTCCCAGAGTGAACATCGACTCTGGAATGCAAGTACATCAATCTGACGAGTCTCAAATAGGACGAAATGTGAGTCCTGGATTCCACTGTTAGCCACTATCCATCTTCGGTTTTAATGCTTGTGACTTAAGGCACTATTAAAACACTCCATACAGGATGTACATATGCCAACAAGATACCAATCAATTGCAGTCCTAAACATAAATGGGAAGATCCAAGTTAATAATACCAAGTGAATTTATATAAAGCAATGTTATACTGAATGAAATATCACACTGAAAATACAACAAATATTACTTACTATTATTTCCGTAGTTTGGGGAACTACTACATCCATCGTCAAGAAGGTACAAGTATTTATAAACTGTTGTCTACGCAAAATATTCAACATTCAATGGCCGGATACTATCAGCAACAGCGTTTTATGGAACAGGATAAAGCAGCTTCCAGTGGAAGATGAAATCAGGAAAAGATGTTGAAAGTGGATAGGATATACATTAAGGAAATCATCGATGTGCATTACAAGGCAAGCACTAACTTGGAATCCTGAAGGGAAGCGGAAAAGAGGAAGTCCAAAGAACACACTAGGCTGGGAAATAGAAGCAGATATGAAAAGGATGAATGTTAACTGGAAAAAACTGGGAGGGATTGCCCAGGATAGAGTTGGATGGAGAATACTGCTGTGCGGTCTATGCTCCTTGACGAGGGGTAACAGGCGTAAGTAAAGTAAGTTGGGGACTTGTAACTCTCTGATTAGATAACTGACATATTCTTCTTGAACGCAAAAGTTTCTTCTGGAAAAACGTTTAGGGATAGATTTCATTAAATCAAATGGTTACTATTTGCATTTCATGGTCAATCAATATTTTAATTGTAAGTATAGGCTTGTGTAGATTGTTGAGTTGCATTGAAGTCATAAATTGATCAATGTTAAAACACCGTTGAAACCCAAAACTCCTGGACAGCTGTTTCGTCTTAGTACAGGACTCATCAGCAGTATGCACTCATGACAGATTAGGCGTGAGTCGAACCCAGAATCTTCACTTTCGCGCCCGAATTCTGAACCTCTATGCGACTGCAACAGTATCCAACTCTGTTAATCCCTGACTACAATCAATCCACGGCATTGAGCGATAAATTTTCATTGTCTTCAGTGGGCAACTACCTTACATCCGATACGAATACCTACTGTATACAATGAAAGATGATCGTACAGTATCGTTTATTGACTGAAGTTAAACACTGACACAACTGAATACCGTCTTAGTGGTCTAAGGGTTAGTCCTTTGAGTGCCAGACTAAGGATCTTTGGTTCGATTCTTGCATTCACGATCGTGGATATGTATTACAGATGAGTTCTATACTAGGACGAAATTTATATTTTCATACAAATACAAAGTTCATTAATTTCAATAGTTAAGATCATGAGTCAATTGAAGCTAAACTGCCATGAAAAACCTGGAAGCGGCCATTTCGTCCTATTGTCGGACTCCTCAGCTGTGCGCATCCACGATCCCGCCTCGTGAGATTCGAACCTAACACCTATCAGTCTCGCACGCGAGCTCTTAACCTCATTAGTTCTATAATTTCATTAATAAATTAGATTGTTTTAAAAAAAAACAATCACCTAGTTTAAGGTCATTAATACCATACTGACTTATTGTATAATTGAAGTCTTATCTATTTCCTTAGATTTTAAGAAGTGAAAAAGAAAATTATGAGACATAACTATTCGATCAACTATTCCTTAAGGGCTATTAATTTATAATTAATCCTTACACAATATATCAGAATGGTTAACTGTGACCTTAACCTTAATTAAGAATTACCTATTATTAGTTATTTATATAAACAAGAGATAATAATCATTTGCATATGATAATGAATTTAAAGTACTTCTGTATAACATTATAAGTAAAGATGAATAGTTGATAACAATGGAATCTAGAACACGCATTTCGTCCTATTTGGAACTCGTCAGTTGGATGTATCTTCATCTCCGAGTTGATGTTCACTCTGGGAGGGACTCAAACTCACTACCGTTCGCTTCAAACGTCATCACGTAATCAACTTAGCTACTGAATCCTGATAGACACTTCTGTACTGCATTTTAAAGATCCACTAGGAGTATGATGTCTAAAATTATTCATATGATATTATGAAAGGTGACTTACCGCTTTCTAGCTTTACAGTGTTAATAATCTGTTAATTTCCAAATGCGATGAATTTATATCTTTCAATGTTATAAATTATTATGGTGATTCACAAGGATTTTAGGATTGAAGTGTAGTACATGGACAAGTTTAAAATAACCTCAACGAATTTCCAACTAGTTTTTAGCCTAATAAAAAGACGGCTATCATAAATGATATGAAGAGAGTCAATCAGAAGTAGCAAATGGTCAATCGATGGCAGGCAGAAGTGATTCGAAGGTTAAATACATTCCATTGGAGTCAAAATGTGTCAATTTCCTTAGGATATATGGATGAGTATTTGTGCATTTTTATTCGGTAGTCCAATATACTTTCTTGTTTACTCTTGTGTTCTAGCTCATTGGTGGGGTTTGCCCTCAGCAAACTGTATATCCGTAACAGTTTTTGAACACCGCACATCACAACAGTAAATGGATAGTTTATGAAAAAAAGAACAGGTTAGTCCACCAGTGAATTAAAACAATGAAGACACACAAATTCATCCTTATGAATGAAAAGTATTCGTCTTCTCGAACTCTTGTAGGTACGGAAATAGATTTCCAAGAGTATCCACGTTATTTGTAGTTATGGTTAGGTATTCAGTGTAAGGATTAAGGATTCAGGGTTAGAATTTTCATCAGAAACTGATATCATTCATAATGTAAAAATACTATCTAGCCGTGTCAGTGAATCTTGTTCGAAAATATAAGAAGTATTGTAATGAAAGGAGACTTAGTTGAAATTAGACACTGGTTTCGTAAAATGTGAAAACAGTATATTAAATACATCATTTGTACATCTTCCTTAAATTGTCTCTTAGAAACTTTCTCACTCTTCCATTCCTTTTACTATTAAGACTGATTTTACTTCTCATTCACTTTTCTTCATGTTCCACTTCTGTCATTAGCAATCCTACTTCCAATTCTTGACACATACTACTTATATCAATCCCTATAAGTAGTACATATCACTGTACTATCTTATTCATTCGTCACTGGGTTATGGTTTGCTTATAGATTAAACGATAAGGGTTGATATTTAGAGGTAGTGTCGATTTGTCTGTTATATACAATCTACAGAGAAAGAATAGAGAGTCTGATACTTTTACATTATCATCGATTAACATTTTGAACGTTTTGAACACTGTGTAAGAAATTCGGTCCTCGATTGACCTACAGAACTGCGATATTTACAGTGGTCATTCACTATGTATTAACTAAATGTCACATTTATTTAGTCCTTGATGCAGACCGACTTTGCAATGGAATCACCACTTCAGATGATTCAACATGTTTTCATGCTAGATAGTCGTCAGGAGACCCTATATGACTCAGGTTTTTATCTAGTTAAAATTCATCATCAAGGTATACTTCCAATCTCAAGGGAACTGATACTCTTGACTGGATTCAAATTCATTATGGAGATTTTTATCAATCATGAAGTATACCTTTCTCAAAAGGTAGTAACTATTTCTTTTGATTTAACTTTTCATTTGAATTCATTTTGCTTGGAATGTAATTTTCGAATAAGAATTTGCTTTAAGTTTAAAAATCCCACCCTACCCCTCCCCCTTTTCAACAACCAGAAAAAATGAGCAAATAAAGGAAATTTGATTAATAATCATAACACATTAACAAATTATTAGGCACTAGTTACTAGGTTATACCGGAAGACATGAATATAATGTATACTGAAAAGTAGTATAGTAGTAGTATATACTGAAAAAAAAAATTGTTCGTTTCTATGTTTCTTTTCTCAGAAAGTCATTTATTGTTTCTCTTGTATTGGTCTTTATGTGTGTATGTGTGTGTGTGTGTTCATTGAGTGTATGTAGTCTAAGAGATTGGCACAATCTATTAATTTCCTTTGTTAGATCTATTACTCTTCTTGTCTTATTTTTCATCTCTTTTATTTAATTAGAATGGCGCTAATGAAGACATGTTGATGGATGAAATGGATAATGACAATAATTAATCATTTTTTTCTAAATGAGATTAGACGAAGGAGAATGTCTTTATGGATGTATCTTTGATTTGCTCGTGTGTGTGTGTGGATCCAGATTATTAATTTGCATAAATGTGGTGGTGTCTACACGGGTATGTATGATTTGGTAATATGGAATGGAATGTGATATGATCATTACTGGAATGTTGAGGTTTATATGGAATTATGGGCTTCATCTTTTAGGTAACCAGTTAAGCAGTATGATATATCTACTTAATGACCATTTTCAGTTTATTCTTCGAAGTTATTCTGATCAATTCTTCCCTAAATAGTAAACTGATGTAAATCTTTTTCAGTGCGCAGCCATGATCCCGCCTCGCGAGCGAGATTAGAACTCAGAACCTACCAGTCTCGCTCCAGAGCACTCAACCGATAAACCAATGAGCTGGCCGGCATCCAACGGTGTTAATGTCTAACTTCAACCAATTGGTGAACGGTTGCTCAAACTTCTTGGATTGGTTGAAGTTAGACATTAACACCGTTGGATGCCGGCTAAGTGGTAAATCCTTTTCTTTGAAACAGAGTTGAAGAAAGATTTCAATGTTAACTGACTTTTATACTAGTTTTTTGAATCTCACTTAGTAACCGTTTAACTTCAATGGATCAATCAACAGTTTCCTCTTGTTTAAATGTACCTACCCTACATATTCATGAAATTCTGCTGTAGTAAATCTTGATTCAATTTGAGATACGACACAACTATAATTAAATATTAGTACTGATGTTGATTTCACTCTCATCATCATATTCATTATTTAAATAACTTTTTATTTTGAAAACTGTTTAAACCAGTATACTTTAATGAATCGTTTTTACTTACTTACGCCTGTTATCCCTCGTGGAGGAGCATAGGCCGCACACCAAAATTCCTTATCCAACTCTGTCCCAAGCAATCCTTTCCAGTTCTTCCCACTTGTTATTCATCCTTTTTATATCTGAATCTATTTTCCGGAGTAATGTGTTCTTTGGCTTTCCTCTTTTCCGTTTCCCTTTCGGATTCCAAGTTAGGCATTGCCTCGTGATTCAGTTTGGTGATTTCCTTAATTTATGTTCGATCCACTTCCAACGTCTTTTCCTAATTTCCTCTAGAGCTGGAAACTGGTTTGTCCTCTTCCATAAAAGGGCGGTTATTGATGATATCCGGCCAGTGAATGTTGAGTATTTTGCTTAAACAACTGTTTATAAATTCTTTTCGGAAGTCACGAGGTTGATGCCCCTTCTAACAACCAGAGCAACACTTATTATAGGTACATAAAATAGTTTTTAAATCATTTTTAATAATCAATCAAAGTTGATTGATGAAATAAATTCATCTGGAATGATGTACAGTTTGACGCAGAAATTGTTATAACTAGTGGTGATGTACCCCTATCAATATATAACTTAATGATACCGTCAATAAGAGAACAGTGATTTATCGACCGTATCAATGACGCATAAACCCGTACAAGCAGTCTACAGTACTTATTGGTCCTTCTTTCTGCGTAGCACTGCCTGTTGAGTCCAGAACACTAATCTCGGCCTCCGTATTATAAATAATGTATTTCAAACATAATGGGTTTATATACAAACCAAATAGACCACAAAATAGTAAACAACATTCGTGCAAGATCTCTCCAAAAGTGGCTGTGAATGTGAGAGACTGTAATTAATAAACTGGGCATAACTTAAAAATGGTAAATCGTATAATAATAATCTATGGGTCAAAATAATGCTTATAATAAGAGGAACATGAATAGGCATAATTTAGTTGCTTAGTAATAAAATAATATATGGATCGTATTGATCCACAAATGGATCCCAACAGTTACCATTCATAATTCTCATCGTAATATAACAGAACTGTTGCCAGTTTAAATTAAAGCTTAATGTACATTTCATTTATAATTTACATAGATTATTATCCAAAATATCAAGGGTATTTCAATTATGCCCAAATTTGTCTTGGATTTAATTGAACAGAAATTTAATTAGTATTGGGATTTGTGGAGATTACAGTTGAATTCATTAGTCAATCTAGCAAGAAGCCCTGATCAGTGAAGTCCAATCCGTGTTGAGTATGAGACAGTTATCCTTCTCAGACAATAGATGATGGATCGATTAAAGTTAGACATTTACACTGTTGGATACCAGCTCAGTGGTCTAGAGCTTAGGCGTTCACGTGTGAGACGGAAGGTCGTGGGTTCGAATCCATCGTTTGGGATCGTGAATATGCACTGCTTATGAGTCGCATACTAGGACGAAACGACTGTCTAGCGGTTCCAGGATTTCAAGAGTAGTGTATGATAAATCTTGCTAATTGAACGCTATATTCGAATCCTAACCTAGTCTCGTAAACCACAAGCTAAATGTACACAGTGACTTGTACACGAGAGAAGAGGCTCAAAATATGCACAAAAAATATAGGGTTTTTGTAGTATTTTAGGAGTCCTTGGGTTTTCTTTAAAATTCTGGAATGCTACTAAACATAGTAGCAATGTATTAATAAACCAATCAGAAACTCTACTTGATACTTTTCACTTTTGTGTTGTTTCTAGCAAAATGTCTAGTCAACGCTGATCGTACAAAATGCTTCCTAAAGTTTCCTGAAGCTTTTTTGTCTATTGTGAGAAATTTTCTAGATCATCCCAACAGTCTAGCACAGATCAACTCGTGAATTCGATCATGAGAAATGCAGTCATTGGATAATTGATTCGTTTTAGAAAGGATTTTGAAAAAACTTATTCTTACTAAATATTACACAATCACCTGTGTTGAATGTATTTTTTAAGGAAATGGGCAGATGCCCTGGTTTGTGTTGTTCATTATTCTTGGTTCGCGATTAAATGATATTTCTTAACTTCTCTTTGTTTATATTAAACATTAGCTGTTATGAAAGTCTAAATGATAGATAAAATTGGATAGGATATGTCAATTAATAGTTAATTCATTAGTTTAATTCTCGAAATTGAATCATACTGATCATCGAAGATAGAATCACTAGCCTACAAATTGAGAATATGAATAAACACCTTTAATGAATCTATGTAATATGACTATAAATCCAAAAGGATTGCATAACAATCAGGAAACAAAATATTACTAAGCAAATAGTAAGAATTTATCATGGACAGATTTTAACGAACTAAGTTTCAACTATTCATTTTATTAATAAGTGGCTAGAATAATCAATCATAAGCGAAACTGAATTACTTACTTACACTTATTACTCCCAACGGAGTATAGACCATCCACCAGTATTCTCCAATCCTTCCTTTCTAGTTCTATCGAATTTTTGTTCATTCTTTTCATGTCTGTCTCCATTTATCGAAGTAATGTGTTCTTTGATCTTTCTAATCTCCTTAGCCAAACTAAATCCCCAGTGATTTTTTATTTTCAGTAAGTTTGTAGTATATAGAATTTTTTACTAATTTTCCATTCACTTTAGGGATGAATGCTGTAGAGTTTAATTTTC